CCTTCCTTCCTTCCTTCCTTCCTTCCTTCCTTCCTTCCTTCCTTCCTTCCTACCTACCTACCTACCCATATCAAAACACTGCCTTTTTCTCCACATGATGATCATGCATATATGTAACTGGGCCAGCATTATTTTGGGTACAGTAACATTTGTCATTTATTAGACTGATTTGTTCACAGTAAATTTCAACTCTAAGACTCTAGTGGATTTGAGATAACTGGGCAGAGTCCATTGTGGGATAATATAGCAAGTCTTCTCATACATTTGAATCTCTGTAGGATTGGTGGGGTTTTGCCAAAAGAATGTTCACAGGACCCCCTCTTGATGAGAAAATTTTTTTTAGTAAACTTGGGAGCACATTCACTCCTGGAATCCATATAAAAACCAATACATGGTGTTTTTCTTCTGCTAATGATGGCAGTTTGGCAATATTATCTGCTGAGATAATCAGCTTTGGTAGCAAAAATATTTCTCATCACTCCCTTTTTAGCTCAGTTCTCTGCGAGAGAAAAAGAGTAATGTAAATAGAGCCCGTGTGAGTGGGCTGTTAATGAAAGAGTTGCCAAGTGTATATGCAAGTTTCTATGTACAACTGCAATTATGGAAATTTTTCCTCAGCTTTTGAATCAGTAGAGGCTTACAGACTTTTTAAATTAAGATGTTGTCAAAAATCTATTTCTTGCTATTCCTACCCTTATTGTCAAAGGAGCTTCTAAAACAACAAACATTATTAATGTAAGAATCTCATTGCAGCTTCTTGCGAATATATACCTAAACATTGTTTATAGAGCTCAAATGTCTTTCTGCCTAAAATAATGAAGATATAATTTAAATAGCTAGGCTGCTACAGATTTTTTTTAATTGCTAATATCTTTGAGTGACATTTCTATAGTCTTTCCCTCCCCCAATATTAAATGATGATTTGTTTCATCATGTATGTGTAACTCTGCCCATCTGTCCATTATTTTAAAACTAAACTTTTTGCCATTTTAACAATATAACAAAAATTTAGCATGCCTTTTATATCTGTTGGGTGAACTGGAAAGGAATGCTATGCACAAATTCACAAAGGTATGATAATATGATAATTTTTATTTTTTATTTATTAATTTATTAATCAAAATTAGACATCGCCCACCTAACTGACTCTGGGCAGTTTACAGATAAAATCATACAATATAAAAAATAAGAGTTGAAACAGAATGGGGCGGAGGGAGTGCTTTCAGGCTCACCTTGGCCACTCCCAAAGTGGCACGCTGCTCTTTGATCCTCACATGAATTGGCAGAGCCAGGTTTTCATGCTCTTTGGAAAGCCGAGAGAATGGAGGCCAACTTCACCTCTGGGGGCAAGATGGCCCAATGACAGAGAATGCTCTCTTCTTAGATCCTACCAGTAGGAATTATTTAACTGACAGTGTCCATAATATACCCTCTCTGCCTAACTGGATGGGACGGGTTGGGACAAGATGCTTCCCTATGTAAACTGAACCCATTCCATGGAGGATTTTAAAGGTGATAACCAACACATTGAATTGGACCTGGAAACAAACTGGCACCCCCAATACAATTCACATTTTAGTGCAATCTGTTAAATAAATCACAATTGCTGGAATCAATCTTGCAAAGTATTAATAGCATATGAATAAAACTTAAAAATTACCCCATGCAACAGGAGGTATTAAAAACAGTTACAACAATCATCATCATCATCATCATCATCATCATCATCCGATAAATATAAGACACAATCTTAAGGCAAATTTTATTCTAAATATCTTAGTTTTGACCAAGTCACAAAATGCTCATAAGGATAATACTGTATCAGAAACACCCAAAGGAGAATGCTTTGCCCAGGCGAGAAATAAAAAGGTGGCCCCAGGAAGAAGTAAGGTTTGAACTTCTAGAGCAGGTGATAAAACATTGGGTGATGCAAGTTCATCATTATCTCACCACAAGAATTATTTGCATAAAATAATAAAAAAAAAACAACAGGCAGTACACAAAACCCCACCTCCTCTGGTCCGTGGAAAAAACTCTCTCCACAGAACTGGTCCATGGCACCCAAAAGCTTGGGGGCTGCTGGTTTAGGTTTAATTGCACCACCTGCAATTAAAATTCAGTGTGTTTTATGAATTCAACAATAGCATCATTGCGACATAGCTTATCCTATGAATGCTTTCTGTTTAATGCTCAATACACAGATGCTCCCTAAACACAATAGATTTTCTGTCATTTATTCTGATCATCAAAAAGGTTCTGCTGTGGACAGACAAAAGGAAGAAAAGTGCACAGTATCACAATAATAATGGCCGTGCAACCTATTGCAGTTTATATATCAACAGCTTAGGCAGAAAATAAAGGGCTGCCGCTGAATTCAGTTTGAATACTGTGTTTGTCTCGGAGGTTTTTTTTTCCAGGAGTAAAAGGCAAGTACAGTATGGTAGAGGAAGAGCCTTACTGTAGTTTACAGAAATCTTTCCAATTCTCTCCTCTGTACCATTTTTCTTTCTAAATTGTGCATATTTCTCCAGAGATCTCCCCAGTTTCTTCAGTGGCACTAATTTTTCTATGGCATTTTTCTGGTTGGCTAATCCTCTGATTCCACCAAACACATCAACAGGATTTTATACTGACATTTAACTGATATTGAAATATTGAAAAACAAATAAAACTCTTGAGTAGTCTTCATTCAGCCCATCAGTTTGCTTCGCTTTTCCTTTACGGGGTCATGCTTCATAATGATGCTGAGAGGTAGATGAGCTCACAAAGGAGAAGTAAATAAAATCTTTGGGTGGGCTAGTGAAACTTGCTCACTGACACGTTTTACTCTGTGTGCACATTGACTACTGATAACTTAGATCACATATGGCTTTTTAAAAACTTTTCAGTGTTTATTTGCTTGCTTATTTGCTTATTTATCTTATTTAATATACTTGTTTACTTAGATTACTTTACACACAACATTTATTTATTTACTTATTTATTATATTTGCTTATTATAGTTATTTATATTTACTTATACTTAATTATTAAATTTATTGATTATATTTAATATACTTCATTCAGGATTAGTGTAGTTTAGCTTAGGACATTAGGGATGGAGACATTCCTCTCTTATGCAGGGAAACTCCTCTTTGAGGTAAGAGATCCTTTCTTTTATTTATATATTTACTTGTATGTATAACTCTAGGATTAGTTCAGGATCCAAAATTCTATCTGCTTCTTTGGCAATTTCTTTAGGGAAATGGTTGAAAAAGTGGTGGGGCTCAAGACTTGGGCAGAAGGAGCACTGGTTGCCCCTGGTGGATGACAGGCTGAGGACCTGGTTGGGGAAGTGCACCTTTCTTGGGTCTTTTACATTTCTAGGGGCTTTAGTCAATGGTGTGATTCAACCTGGTACAAAATGCAGTGGCCTGCATGGTTTTATGCAGAGGTGACACGTGGTGGGCACATGTGTCACCTCTCCTGCAGGAGCTGCATTGGTTGCTGATTCGCTTCTGGGTGCAATTCAAGGTGCTGGTTGTCACCTTTAAAGCCCTTCATGGCTTGGGTCTGAGTTATCTAAGGAAACATCTCTTGCTAGTCACATCCACCCGATCCATTAGAGTGAGGAGGCAAGGAATGTTGCGGGTCCCACCCCTGAGGGAGATACACCTGGTGGGACCCAGAAGAAGGGCCTCCTCTGTGATGGCTCCGTCTCTCTGGAACATCATTCCCCCAGAGATTAGAATGGCCCCCTCACTAATACTCTTTTGAAAGGCACTGAAGACCTGGTTTTGCCAGCAGGCTTGGGGACCCCACACTATGATTTATAATACTTAGTAAATTTGCCTCCTTCAGTAGGTTTGTCCTCAAGTGTTGAAAATGTCTTCTTTGGCAGATTTATCTGCAGAAATACAGACAACATCAAAGAGACCAAAGTAAGTAACCAACTATTTGTTTGTGTGAGAACCTGTAGCAGGGGGCTACAAAGGCAATCCTCCCTGTGCATCAGTGGTGGGATTCTACTGGTTCAGCCTGGTTCGTGTGAACCAGTAGTAAAAAATGCTATCGTTCGGCCGAACGAGTAGTAAAAAACCAACTACTGGTTCAGCTGAACCGGTATTACTTTTCTTTTTTTTCCTCCCAACGATCAGCTGTTCCGACATCAGCTGTACCAGGATCCCCCTCGCTGTCTTACTGCTTTGCCCAGGAGGCTTCCCTGAGGCCCAGGAGACAAAGAGGGCACACGGGGGGGTGTATGCGTACTTCAGGATAGCCTCCTAGAAGCAAAAATGCCCCCCCCCCCGGAGGTTCCCTGAGGCCCAGGAGGCCAAAAAACAGAGAGCAGAGGAGTGCTGCACCAAAAAAGCCACACCTACCCATTCACATAGCCACACTCACCTAGCCACTCCCACCTAGCCACACCCACAGAATCGGTAGTAAAAGTATTTGCATCCCGCCCCTGCTCTGCATCATACCTGACTCTTCCTATTCAATGGCCAGTCTTAAATTCCAGTGTTCTTGGTGGGTTAATATGTAATGTCTTTTGTGAATATTGATTAATAGTGTGTTTTTCCATAAAAATACAGAAAAGAAGCGGATAGAAGAACGAACGTTGCTTCAAGAAAGGAAGCTGTCCGAAAAAGATCTTACCATAAAGAGCTGTAAGTCATTCATTTCCCTACCATGCTGTTTTAAGCCCCTCTTTTTATCCACAAATTTATATTATATGACTGATGTTTGCTTCTTATAATTTCTGCATCTTAGTTGGAAGAGGAGAATCTTTGAAAAATCTTTCAGGACCAGCTCCTTGCTAAAACCATGGTCACTAGCCATGGTTATCCCCATCTTCAAAAAGGGAGACCCCAGCCTAATTGAAAATTACAGACCAATCTCTTTATGTTGTGTCACCTGTAAAGTCATGGAATCAATTATTAACCAATCCATTATCCTCCACTTAGAGACAAACAACCTATGCTCTAACAAACAATTTGGTTTCAGAAAAAAATTATCCTGTAATCTACAATTCCTACACTGCAAAAACATATGGACTACACAACTTGATCAGGGCAAAGCAATTGACACTATTTACATAGACTTCTGTAAAGCCTTTGATTCAGTGGTACATGACAAACTACTCCTAAAACTAAAATCTTACGGTATCTCTGGACACCTGCATAACTGGATAGAAGCATTCCTGTCAAACAGATAACAAATGGTAAATGGCAGCGTCCTATCAAATTCTGTACCTGTCAACAGTGGTGTCCCCCAAGGCAGCGTTCTAGGACCAACTCTCTTTATACTTTACATAAACGACCTCTGTGATCATATTAAAAGCAACTGTATTCTGTTCGCTGATAATGTAAAGCTATTCAACACCACTGACAATACTGCTACCCTTCAAAATGACCTCAACTATGTGTCAGAATAGTCAAACAAATGGCAACTTCAAATCTCAACAAACAAATCTTCTGTCATACATATCAGCAAAAAAAATCAGAAAATAAAATACAAGCTGAATAATCAAGACCTTGTTGATGACCCCAACTATGTCAAGGACTTTGGAGTACTCTTCTCTAATAATCTAAGTGCTTGAGCCCAGTGTAACTACATAGCTAAAAAGGCATTAAGAGTTGTTAACCTAATCCTGCATAGCTTTTTTTCCGGTAATATTACACTACTAACTAGAGTATACAAAACATTTGCTAGACCAATACTTTAATACAGCTCATCAGTCTGGAATCCGCATTACATAACGGATATTAATACAGTTGAGCAAGTCCAGAAATATTTCACGAGAAGAGTTCTCCATTCCTCTACTCGTAGCAGAATATCTTATGCCACCAGACTTAAAATTTTAGACCTAGACAACCTAGAACTATGTCGCCTTCAGTTTGATCTAAGTATAGTACATAAACTTATCTACTGCAATGTCCTACCTGTCAATGAATACTTCAGCTTCAACCACAACAGTACAAGAGCACACAATAGATACAAACTCAAGCACCAAACTTGATTGCAGGAAATATGACTTTAGCAACAGAGTAGTCAATGTCTGGAATACTCTACCTGACTCTGTGGTTTCTTCCGCAAACCCCAAAAACTTTAACTTTAGACTGTCTACTATTGACCTCACCCCTTTCCTAAGAGGTCTGTAGGGGGCATGCATAAGTGCACCAACATGCCTACCGTCCCTGTCCTATTGTTTCTTTTTTATCCTTATCCATTTCATCTATTCATAACCATGCTTATACTTATACCTGTTATCTAATACTTGCTTGACAAATAAATAAATTAAAAAAAAACCCATTTAGCCAGCAAAATGGCTCAACTTATGAGGGAAAATAAGGAACTGCAGAAGAAAATGAAAGACAATCCAGAAAGTGAGATCATTTTACTTTAACAACATTTTAATTGTTTTCATTCAAAAAAGAAAAGTGATTTATTTAATCTTAAGTTTGACTGTAGAAGTTCTAGTTCTTTTGTTATTTTTTTGCCAGGAGATGTAGACAGAGATGAGGAAATTAACTACAAGGTACTAAAGGAGAAATATGAGAAGTACCAGAAAGCCATCAGAAGAGCGAAGACTGTAAGTATCGTACATAACAGTAAGAAATCAGAACAACCTCTTTAAGTGAGATTTTAAATACATTAAAAGTTAATTTTGATTGTACTTCATCAATTTCTTTTTATAGGAGGTCTCAAAAGAAATTGAGAAACAGAAAGAACTGGCAAGGGCTTGGGAGCAGGCAATTGATGATGTCTGCTCCCATCTCATATCCCTACCTGTCCAAGAAAGACCAAGGCGGCAAGATTTGTCCTTCCGTTTCTTGGAGAGAAATAGACGTGTTTCAATTGATGACTCACTACTTTGTTCTAAAATATTTGTTTAACATTTTCAGTCTCTGCCAGAAAAGAGTCCAAAGAGACACCTGATTGTATACAAAAGGTAAATACACAGACTATTTGAGAATGTCAATTGGTATAGAGATTGATATCTGGTTAAATTCCACTAAACTGCACATATAGTCAACTGTTTCATGAAGTGAACGTTAGTAAATAAAGTCTGAACATCTACTGAGCACATGATGTCATCTTTCGCATTGGATAAAACTGCTGTTTGACATATATAATTTAATGTGTTAGTTGTTTTTTTCATTGAAATACTTATATTTTTTCAAAATAGGAAGATCTGGTTTCTCTTCAAATGTAGTCCTCGAGTACAGGATTGTACTAATGTGATTCTGTTGTAACCTACTTCTTTTTAATCTATTTCAGTGGATTCAAAGACACCTGTACTCCTTTTTGGGACTCCCTCTGCTTATGGTTTAATACAACCAGGGACAACCAGGACCAGCTGGATTGCTGTGACTAAGAGACGCAGTCATGTGGCATAGATTTTGCACCTCTTCATTTAACAACAGTGGCAATTTGTCCACATTTCATACCATTGGAAATTGTAACATGATGACTACCTTTATGATGAAAATTCTTTTTCACCACCAATTATTCTCCTGAAGAAATTGCTTTTGACATCCCCTTCTTGTCTGGAAAACAAAGTGAGGAAAAGCCTTCCAGCAATTTGAATGTGATGCAGGTGATTGTGCCCTGTAAGTTTCTGTCCTGAGTACTTGGGATGTTAACAAAGAAGAACCCAAGAACACCCAGGTGGAAGACATCAAGCATTCTTTGGACAATATCCATTCCAGCCAAGTTAATCTTTTCCATCTGGCCAAATGTCCAACCTCTTCTTCACTAAAGGAGCCAGACGAACAATGTCTCTTTCATAAAAATTTGGTGAGACATAATTAAAAGACATGCATTCCAGCTCAGTCATTGCTTGGGCTACAGGAACCTTGCTAGGTTTTGGAGTTCTTGGACATTTGGTGGAAAATATTCAGGACTCATGGCTTCTGGCTGAGGAACCAAGGCCAGTAACAAAAGTAACTCAAATTGTAAAGGCAGGGGGAGTTGGCAGCAGATGAAGTCAGCAGTTATTGAATTGTTCATATTTGGAAATCAGGACCCTATTCTTTGCTTCAGAAACAACAAAGTTCTCTAATGAAAGTAGTAAAAGAATTGAAACAAAGAATCACTGAGCAACTCATAAAAATGCAGAATAAAGTTGTCTGCACTGAAGCCTCCAAAGAAGTTCCAAAATAATAGCTAGCACAAGTATTGAAAGATGCCAATACTGTACTATTAAATATAAATACCAGCTCACTGCAAGAGACATCTAACTAATATATAGTGTACTGCAGTTATAACTGAATACCTAGAAGAATTGAAACAAAGAATCATTGAGCATCTAAAACAGTACAAAACCACAGCATAAGGTTGCCTGCATTGAAGCTTGTCCCAAGGGAAAAAATAGCACAACCATTGAAAAATGCCAAAACTATAATTGCAAATATAAATATCAGCTCACTGCAAGAAACATGTAGCTAATATACAGCACAGCTGCAGTTATAACTGAATACCAGGGATTCAAAATTAACAAAAAGGAAAAACAGCTAAAGGCTACACTACCAAGATTAACAAAGCATTGGAAATAATAAAGCAGCAAATAATAGCTATAGCCAAGAAGATCCTTCAAATTTCTCACTACAGGCAGAATCTCCAATTTCAATCCCAATTAGAAACATTGAAAGACTACAGTGAATCAATTAATACTTGACAAGAAAGACATAGTAAAGTTGTGAGTGCAGATATGGGATAACCCAAAGAAGTACAATAATAGGCCAAGTGAGGAGAAGCGCAGTGCCCCTTGACGTGAGTCATGTTGAGTTGGCCACGTCCACCCAGTCACATGACCACCAAACCACACCTACCAACTAAGCCACGCCCACAGAACTGGTTATTAAAAAATTTGAATCCCACCCCTGGATATCACGCAGGCATCTCTGCTTCCTGAGATGGCATCTGAAGAAGTAAACTTCCCCTACCCTATAGCAGAGCATTTTTGTAAAAGCAGCAAAAATGTATTCATTTTATACAATTATATTAACCACAGTAAAGTGCATGAACATAATTTTAAAAGATAATAAATTTCATACAATTGCTATGCATTGTGTTATAGATCTTCACACAGAGATGCATGGTATGACAGGGAATATATAATATAAATATTTATCATTTCAGTTTCTGTGGCTTCCCACTCCTACAAAACTTTGGGCATCTTACAAGGGTTAAAATGATCAATATGAAATATTTAAAACAACAATAGAAATGACGCTGCCAGAGGATAAAACCAGCCAATTCATAACAAGCTATTCAAACTCTGTAGTGGGATCATATGAGCTCCTGGCTCAGAGCCCATGGAAAAAGTGCCTTGCAAGATGACAGGATTGGGGCTGTATGGATCTCAGGAGTAATGCATTTTAAAATATAATAATAACTAATAATAATAATAATGACCCTATGCTCGATCACCCAAAAAATTCTTAATAAGTGCATCTCATCAGCTAAAAATGTGTTGCAGACCCATGCTTTATACCTAATGCCAAAATATCCAGATGTGTGCATGCGTATATCATGAATTTTGTGTAAATAAGAAGGAAGTAGAAAAAAGATTCTTTGAAGATTTGATTAAGGAGAACAAACAAAAAAAAGATTCTACTAAAGATACAGCATCTTGAAAGAGAATGATAGGGAAAGTAAGGCAGAATAAGAATGGTAGTTCAGGATTTGTACCTAAGTTTGCATGCTTTCTTGCAGCACACCCTCTAAAGAGACATGCATTTCCCCTTATCTCAAAACCATGGAGACTGTTAGTGATGGATTTTTGTTTACATTCTTTGCATTTCTGCTGAGATAAATCTCCCAATTTAGGATGGAATTTTCCAGCCACAAGCTAAACCTTGACACAAACCTATTGCCCCAAATTCCTGGGAGCTCTGAAACTAGTCAGGTAAATTTGACGAGGAAAGTATAGCCAGATGCGCAATTAGATTTTAATATGGTTTTCTATCCTGTTTGCTCACGGCATTCGTTTGGGTCCTACTCTCTTTCTTTGCTCAATTTGTTTATGGATTAATTGTTAGCTAGCTTTGGTTTGCAAAGTTCATTTCATGTAACTTGGTGCAACTACTCTTATTTCCCAGGTTTTTAAAAAATAAAATCCTTTATTTTCACTTAGCTTTAGCATATCTATTATTTAAAAACAAATTTGGGGAAACTTGAAGTCTTTTGCCTCGTCCAGATTCCAGGTATTGGAGGGATCTCCCCAGTCAAGAAGTAAGGGCAATACATTTATTTGCCCAAATGAATGCTTCCAAATGAAGGACAGATACACCAAGAACTTCCATAAGTCAACTAAAAGGCATAAGGGAGAGAACTCCAAGAAAGGGTTTACTTTGTGGGCATTTGAGACACATACCCATGAAAACAAGTTCACATATCAAGGGGAAGAATGCTATCAAACTTTTGACAGCAGACATATATAATAAAACAAGATTATGAACAATATGATGGCTGAAATAATGACCAATGGTGGGTTTCAAAAAAAATTTCCTACCAGTATGGAGAGTTCACTTTGCGCATGTGCGCAGAGCTCAGAAACTGCTTTCTGCATCAACGCCGGTGAGCTGTGCTGTTTTTTTTAGTTCATGGCAATCCACTCTGCCACATGAATCAGCTGAGCTAATAAACAACAGAATACAGGAGAGGTAAGAGCAAGAGTAGATAGGTGGGGCCAGCCAGAGGTAGTATTTGCCGGTTCTTTGAACCAGTCAAAATTTTTGCTACTGGTCTGCCAGAACGGATCCGAACCGCCTGAATACTGCCTCTGCTTACGGCTTTATCATTGTTCATTTTGGGGAACTTCCCTCTGTCAAATAGGTTTTAAAAAGTTATAGTCTTTTAAGTTTTGCAGTATTTTTTTTTTATACTGATCAACTGTCTCATGAATTAGGCAGTTTACACACAAAAATAAAGTAATTGCAAATAATAGTTACACATGCCACCCAGGTTCACCTACCACTCCAGAAGACCTTTAGAAGGACATGGTTTTTCTTGCTTTGTAAATTGCAAGCAAGAACCACACCCCTTTACTTGAAGGGGGAAGATGTTTTATAACATGGGAGCTATCCACAAAAAGGCATGTCTCCATAATCCCATCTACCTGACCTCAAAGGGGGCAATTTGGAGAAAGGCCTTTGGGAAGAATGAACAAAGGGAGGCTGATTCTGGTGGAGAGAGATAGTCCTGTGTGTATCCTGGTTTTGTGGCACTTTTGTTTTAAACATTAAATCCCACACTTTGATTTGGTCTCAAGAGCTTTGAAAGAACCAGTGCAGTGACCTCAATTTTGGTGTCCTACTGCTTGCTGAATTCATCTTGGTCAGCAATCAGTCTGCTGCATTTTGAACCACTTGCAAATGATAGATGTGATAAAAGAATAATAAAGAAATTAAGGTCAGATGCAAGTAATTTAAAACCCATGAAAGAGTAAAATTTGTAGAATATAAGGATCAAGACAGCCTAATTAAAAAAGTTATCAGCTTGTCACTAGAAAAATTGAAGATGTTTTGGAAATCAGAAAGCAACAAATAACAGCAATAGCTGTGAACATGGAGTGCTATAAGGCATGAACCATCCAATTCAAGAAAAACCAACTATTTCAATTAGACCAGAGGTGAGGCTACCAAACTATAAATGGCAATGATAATTCTGAAAATGGAAAACCAAATAAAAAGAAAATCCAACTTGTGGAAAGATCTATGAGAAAATCAAACAGCCTATAATAAAAATGCTAGATGGGTAAGAGAATTTGAAGATGAATTTAGAGTCACATTGTGATAGAGATTTATTTATTTGATTTATTTGATTTGTTAATTGCTTAAAAAATAATAGGTGTAAGTATAAACATGAGTAAGAGTACAGAAAATAGGTACTATTAAATGGGGACAATAGGACAAGGGACAGGAGGCACGATGGTGCACTTATGCACGCCCCTTACAGACCTCTTAGGAATGGGATGAGGTCAATAGTGGATAGTTTGAGGTTAAAGGAGTAGGGGTTTGAGGATGTAACTACAGAGTCAGGTAGTGCATTCCAGGCATTGACCACTTTTGCTGAAGTCGTACTTTCTGCAATCAAGTTTGGAGCGGTTTACATTGAGTTTGTATCTGTTGTGTGCTCTTGTATTGTTGTGGTTGAAGCTGAAGTAGTCATTGACTGGTAGGACATTGTAGCAGATAATTTTGTGTACTAGGCTTAAATCCAACTGTAGGCGCCGTAGTTCAAGATTGTCCAAGCCCAAAATTTCAAGTTTGGTGATATAGGGTATTCTGTTGAGAGCGGAGGAGTACTTTGAAATACTTTGCTTAATTGTATTAATGTCTGATATACAGTGTGGATTCCAGACAGATGAGCTGTATTCGAGTATTGGTCTAGCAAAGGTTTTGTATGCCCTAGTTAGCAATTCAATATTTCCAGAGGAGAAGCTTTGTAAGATTAGATTTACAACTCTTAATGCCTTCGTGGGTGACATAAACTTAATACATAAAAATAAATGTGGTAAAAATCAAACGGAAAACCTAACAACAGAATGAAAAGACTTAAAAATTTGACATTGCCTGGAAGTAATCAAGTAATTGCATGGCTTCTGGTTCAAATATCAAAGTAACTTACACCCCAATTATTGCTAAGCAGCTTAATGATTTATTTCATAAAGGGGACATGAACAATTGTTGAATAATACTGGCCAAATTAATCTGATTCAAAAAGACCCAGCAAAAGGGACAACATCAAGAAACTACACTGATAACATACTTACATACAATGTTGAAATTATTCATCGGCATACTAGTAGACAATATTCAACTTAATTGATAGTTAAATTCCTTCTACATAGAACAGGAGGAAATAAAAGGAAAAGCAGAGGTACAAAAAATCCATTTCTGGTTGATAAAATGGTTCTGGAGAATTGCAAAAGCTGAAAAACTAATTTATATATGGTCTGGATTGATTATAAAAGGCATTTGATTCCTT